CGGGCACGCTCTGTTGCGGGTTTTCCCTAATATACACGGAATGTGAAGAGGCATCTTTTGGTGAAGAAAGATAGTTTCCTTAAAAGAGTTTTATGCATTACTTTTTCTAACAATATATGTACTGATATTTACATATAAATATGTAGCACAGTGATCTTTATAGTAAAGACTATTACAATATTTCTATCTAAAACTACATTCTTCTGTATGTATCACAGAATAAATTATTAATGTGGTGTTTTCCAAGATCAGATATTGGCTTGTTAGAGTATTGATATTATTGGACAAAAAAAATGAAAAGTCATTCTTAATCGCAATTATTTTCAAAACATTAGAAACTATTTTTCTGAAAATGACTTATTTATATCAAAAAATAGATCTTGAGACTTTATGGATGTTAATGGAGACTCACAACAGCGGTTATATTGACCATAACGTAGATGGTAAGTGTTAGTAGGTATGCAGATAGACTTGTTCCTCCATATTTCATGTTTTAAGAAAAATTGATGCATAAAACTCTTTTAAGGAAACTATCTTTCTACACCAAAAGATGGCTCTTCACATTCCGTGCATATTAGGGAGGACTCGCAACAGTGGTTGTCTTGCTCGCAGAGGAAATATTGAGTGATAGTGTTGGACACCTTTAGATTTTCACGTATGTTTCGCGTTTTTGTTCCTTACAAATTAGACAAAGTGGGTGATAGCAGTGATAGCATAAAATACTAATATTCATTTGGACCATCGTAGACTAAGTTCGCTAGTGCATGAATAAACCTTTTTTTTAATAATAAAACATTGTTTTATTTATGCAATATGTTGAGAAATGAAACGTATTTTTAATACAAAAGTTGTCGACGTTACTGTCATTCACTGTATTTCTCCAAGGTCTCATTCTGACTGACTACTGCGCGACAGGGATATATATTATGTATAAATGAATTCCACTAAAATACTTTCAATTTACCGTTAGAATAGCCAGAGTCTCTTGATCTTTTTTCAACTAAGTGCGCAAATCGACTCAGACTGAAAATTAGATAGGGGCCGAAACAAACCGTTATCGTCATCCGCCTTTTGATATTACATAGGCAGAAAAATATGAGTTTAAATGAATGAACCGATGAGAGTTAGCTTTTTAGAAAAACATTTTGTTGCATTAAAACCCTATTGATCAGGGGAAGCGTAAAGAATGTTGAAACGGAAATGTTACTTTTTAAAGCTAATCAGTAAGTCAATAGTGTGACGCTCTCCCTATCATACGCTGTATGCTTGTTATTTCTCATTACTTGCTGCGCTCTTTTCTATTATGCACATAAACAATTCTAGAAGTGACTATTTTTAGTGTAACAAATAGTATTAGCAAATGTGTATGTCTGTCCATCCGTTTACCCGATAAGTTATCATAGAAAAATCATTTCGTGCTGAAATTTTTTGCACAGTCCAGTCTCATTAATATCTCAGGCGAGTTTGAAAATGAAAAGGATCTATAGAGAAATAAGTGAGATATTGAAAACAATTTTCAATTTTTAATTGGGTATCTCTCAAGGAAAGTATAGGAATTTTTCGAAAGAACATTGTTTTTCTCAAAATGACATGAACACAAATATTGATTGATCCAGTTATTAACGCTAATTCTCAATCTAACTAAAATCTACCTGAAAATGTTTCAAATAGTGAAAATTTCTTTTACAACATCAATGTGATATGACCAGACACATCTGATAAAACCATTAGTTTTAAAGTTCTATGGATTGCAACAAATCACTAAAAATTATACTCCACCCAAAAATTTCTCATGGTAGTTTAGATATTCAGATACCTTCGTAGTAACCCAACTCCTCCATGCACTTTTTTCCGTACGTAGGACTTTTTGGTAAGATCTGCAGGTTCAACATTAATTTATCTAATAAAAGAAAGAACATTTAACTCCGTCATCTCTCAAACGTCTGTCAGTAAATGAGAAATTGTTATTTGTTCCGGCGTTCATTAACGTCGATGGTAAATGACAAGTGTAAAATCACTTTTTGCCTTATAATACAACAAATTCGATAAAGGATTGTTTTTTGTCAAATAATGCTTGTTGATAACATTTTATTATTTTAATAGATAAATTCGGACTTTATCCGATGGTCATGTGTATTTTAAAAAGTGCATAAAAAAGGATCAGGAAAGTATTATTATTTTTGCAATCACTCAGAAATGATAGATTGAATTAAACTCATTTTTGAACTCAATCAGAACGTTTATAAAATTAAACCATGAAGAGAATTTTACTACAATCTCGAATTACTTCGGTAAGTTATTGTGTAAATGGTCAGATAAATAAACTACCCAGGTCGAACAATCCCATACTCGGATCCCATCGAATCCAATATAGGATTTTATCAGATCCTACAGGAATTCGACGGATCCGATGAAATCCTGGTGACGGGATCGCATGTTGGGTCGCATCGGANAATTCGACGGATCCGATGAAACTCGGGTGACGGAATCGCATTGGACTCCGACAGTCTCGGATCCGATCGGATCCCATGTCGGATCTCGTCGGATCCGAAACATGGATTTTCTGGATTTTCTAAGTGTCATCATAGAACATAGCTAAAAAGATTGCTCATAAAGTTTGCAACAACCGACGGGATTTTTCTAGTCGGACTCCAATGCAATTCCGTTTCCAGGAATCCTATCGGATTTTGTCAGATGGTCGGATCCGGTCAGATCCGATCGGATCCAGCATTGGATTTGTTGACCTGGGGGGTTAGTTTTGAGCGAGCTGTACAGGAGCGAAATTCGCCCGATCATTTTACTGAATTAGTCCAAGAGAAAGTGTTCTAGTGTGGTTTAAACTATACAGTTTGATAGAGAACATGATTCTCTACAAAACGCAGATTTAACAGATTATCTTGTATTCGAATCAACGAAATAGTGCAGTAATTGATCGTCGGGACCAGAAACGTTTTTGGTTGCTATGCTGGACATTAATTTGAAGATGCCTGTAATGATCTCTGATACAAGAGATAATATGTCATAAGCGTGTCCTGTATTTAGTCGAAAGAAATCGTATCTCTACTGTATGTTTCTCGTACTTTCATAGTTCTCCGTACATACAGTATCACGCTACAGAAAAATATAAAACTTTATAGATAATATCTAAGATCTATGGTTATCATTCAGCGAGGTGGTGAGCCAGAGGATCATGCGATCATCGCCTCTTCTACAGAGAGAGAGCACAAACATGTCATACATAAGAGTGCGTTTCTGATATCAATATCGTATGAATGTTATACCATAAGGAGAGATAAATCTATCAATATCTCTAAGCTGGGTATATAAACTAAGAGGCTAATATAGTATATAAGTTCATAGAGGAAGAAAGAAAGAAGAAGAAAATTGACGATGTTACTTAAGTATTTTCTTGCGTGTGAACAAGATCATATATCTATCTTTATTTAACTATAAAACCGAGTTTATATAGTGATCAACTGATCCCTTGACATCACTCGGTGGAAATTTACCAGATGATTGAAATCGGAGAGGACAAATCCATCATTTCAAATGAAGAAGAGAGCGAAGAGCAGAAATTCGTCATATATACATATGTGTATATGACGAGAGAGAAAGAGAACATGTATATGTATCTGACAGGAAAGGAAGACCATCGCGCATATATGATATATGTAGGGTAAAATCCTTATGATCATATCTGATAAGATGTAGGGCATAACAGTAAGTTGCCTATATCCGTGTCATCATCAGTGTATGAGAAGAAGAGGAAAAGTATACAATCATAGATTGTCACAATGCCAGATATCTGTAATTTGAAACTTAATTTCAACTGTCTAACTCTCCGTTCAATTATTGGAATATTCGTATACTTGCGAGTGAGCAGAAGGGTTCTGAGAAGACATCATTTCAGTGAGGACGAACAGAAGAGTTTTGAAAGCAATTGAATATTTAAATAATTGAATTGAAATTTCGAGTTTCGCATCACTAAAAGATGCAAGGGTAATAGTAGCTATTCATAATAGACTGCTGCTTCATGTGAACAATGATCATGAATAATGGACATTACATAAATAACAAGAACGATGACAGTCCTTCGGTTAGTTTTGAATAAGCGTGAAATTGATGAGGACCGTTCTCGAGATGTCGTTTCTAAGGGCAAGTTTTATCTTTAGTATAATCCAATCAGTCAAGGGTAATACGAATCTGCCTCGACGAGCGTTATTTATTCTATATAGGACTCAAAACTCTAGATACAGTTTTCCAAAAATTTTTCCCGTAAATAAAAGCTTCACCACTCGATGCGAAATTTAATTTTGAATCGAATGGGCTAGTTTTTATGGGCGGGACATGTTTCTAAGGAAATTAATAGCTGAATTATTGTTTCGTCGTGCTAGCTTCATATCGATTTCAAACTCTACTTGTGTGCTGTTGTTGAAGCATCATTGAATCTGTTCTCGGCATCAGCTGATTTGTTCTTCTTCTCCTTCGTATCTTCAAGAAATCTGATACTTCATGTCGAAAACGTTTCGAAGCCACATAGTAACAGTAAAAAGAACTCTAGAAGATGAAAAAAATATTTTAGAACAAACAAAATCTACTTCTTGCAACTCACAGAATAAGTTCCATACGTATAAGCACTGAAAAAACTCTGTGCTAACTGTTCTCGAGCTTGTCGGAAGATACTTTTCTGTTTCACATTGACCGTACCAACAGAATACGCTAGAAAAATAGCGAGAGGACCATTGAATAGAAGAACAGCTCCGATTTGAGAAAGAGTCATTTGAATCATTTGGCGAGTAAGTGCGCAGACTGGATTTCTATTTGATGTCATGTTCCGTAGATTTCGATAGGTAAGAAAGCCAAAAATAGATATGAAGACGACAGGAATGAATACATAAAGGCCAAGACTAACAAAATAGCCTCGATAGTATTGTGTGTAAATCGAACTCGCCCCTACACAAGCACGCTGTACAAGATCTTGAATAAACATGTAGGGAATCCCATGACCAATCCAAACTATGAAAAATCCACCAACTAAAACCCTTGCCACTTTCACATTGCTTTTCATCCGCATCGTTGCCGATCTCGATGAAGAGAGGAAAACATCGAGTGATTCCAGACAGAGACAAGTAAGTGAACTAAAACCGGTGAGGTCGATCAAAGGATATCTTATTTTACACCAAATAGAATTTTGAGTTGTAAAATCAAGATGAAAA